TGCCTGGTCCTTTCCACTGGAGATGCCACCAGGGATCGAACCTGGGACCTCCTGCCTCACTGAGCCACAGCTGTATGTTGTCCATACAACAACCCTGGGAGGTAGGTCAAGCTGAGAGAGACAGCAGCTGACCCCAGGTCACCCACAGAACTTCACAGACACCGGAAACTTGAACCTGGGGTCTCCAAGGTCCAGCACACTAGCCCGTTGCGCCCACACTTTTGTGCGGCAGAGTGACGGGTGCTGCACATAATGTCTCCCCACCTGAAACGGGGCGCCCCCTACCTGTGTGGGTCCGGATGTGCCCCTGGAGCAGCCAGGGTCGGGAGAAGGCCTTGCTGCAGATCCTGCAGACGCAAGGCAGCGTGTGGGTGCGGATGTGCATCTTGAGGGCCCCCAGGCTGGCGTACTCCTTCTCGCAGTACTTGCAGTTGAAGTATTTCCTGCCCGCCGACTGCAGCTTGCAACGCAGCTGCCGGTGCCGTGCCAGGCCCGTGACGGTGTGGTAGGCCTTGCCGCAGTCTGGACACGCCAATCTCTCGGGGGGGTCGGCGGCCGTGCCCGGCTCCCCCAGCAGTTTCTCCCCCTCCCCCTCGGCCGGGCTGCCCAGGTGGGGAGTCCTCTTGGGGGGCAGTCCAAAGGTGGACGGAAGGTTGAGGTTGTTCAGATTGTCCCGGAGAGGGGCCCCCGAGAGTCGGCCTCCCACTGGGGCGGCGTCTCCCGGGGCTGCCACGGACGGTGGGCTTGAGCCGGGAGGGTCTCCTCCGCTCTCGCTGCTCTGTGGAAGAGGCCAGGATGGGTGGGCAGCGCCAGAACTGCGGTCCCACAGCCGGCTGGGCTCACAGGGGGACAGAGAGGCCGCCCCATCGGGCATGAGGAGGGGGAACACCAGCCCTCGCCACGTTGGGCACGGTCCATTGGATTCTGGGGGAGAAACAGAGGAAAGGCTTATGAAAAAAGGACAGTAGAGTTGCTCTTCACTACCAGACATGCAAAACCTTCCAACTAAGCTCAGTAAATGTTTGGTGTAGTGGTGAAGTGCGCGG